CCCCCCCCAAAAAAAAACCCCAAATTCAAAACAAAGTAACAGCATTTTTCCCCCAACCAACAAAACAACCCCACCAAACGCACAATAAAACCCCAAAAGCCCAATCCCCTCCAAAACCTTTTAGAAACTTGGCAATATGAAGTTGTGTGACTCTAAACAGCATGTCATTTCTCTCTGCATCCTCCTGTAATTTGTCTGACTAATTTAGAAGATCTTTAAAAAATAAAATTATTTTAAAATGTTGATATAACTGTTTACTTATGTTTCATAGTATGTTACTGTCCACAAATGCTAGTTCTCAATACCTTTACGCTTCCTTTGGATAGTACTTGGGAATTTTTTCCATCTCCCATGCTTTTTGGCATCACAGGGAAGCTGTGTGAAGTGCTTTCCCAGGTGCTGGTCCTTGCACATCCACAGAATGACAGTGAATGTGCAAGCACTTGCTTAGGAAGGTCTGTCCCATTGGAACTTCCTCTTGAAGCAACAGTGAGAAACAGTTTCTTTGGCCTGTTATGGTGTCAGGGGAAAGAAAATATAAACGTATGTGAAAATACTGTATTGTGCTTCCTGTCTTCCTTCCAATTTTAAGCTTGTATACTGAGATACAAGATTGTAATGGTTTCCATTTCAAATTAAGTCTGTTTAGGAATTGGTTCAGTTGCTACTGTATAGGGAAGGTTATTCTTTCATCTAGTTATCTGAATTGCTTGACTGTTCTGGGATGATAATGCTGCTTAGAAAGTTGTATGAAATCTGGCCTAGCAGTAGTGTCTGTCAGTAAATATGTTATCAGTGAAATCCTTTGGTGGTGTGATTGTTGTAGCTGTTAGTCGAAATTGTAACTTGGTCCATCACTTTAGGCAAATGTGCACTCTGGAACTTTATACCTATGATTTATTTTCTATTGCAGAGAAATTGCAGGAACTTGGCTCTTTTCAAAAAGAAGAGGAGCCAAGATCAGATGCATTTGAATGCAATTATTTTGTCTAATTTGCTGTTGATCTGTTTAATTAACATATTTTGTATTTATCCTACATACAGTTGTATAAAGCTGTTTGGTCTTAATCCTGTGGTTTTTTTGACTCTCTTTGTTTCTTGTTCCTCTATCTTTATCTGTATGCTTGACCACAGTTTGTCAGCTAATAGAAAGAGAGCATGAGTTTAAATAATACTTTCATCGTGTGGGCTTATCATCCAGCAAGTTTAATGAAGCCTGTTATCGATGACAGTAGAAAAGAGGGTACTCTTTACTGAGGATAGAGAGGAGTGTCATCTGACTTCCAGTTTCAGTTGAAGTGCATAGTTTTACTATTCAGTTAAAGGACATAGAGGCATTTCTCTCTCATGTTGCTATAATATTCAAGTTCTCTTAGTTTTTATTCCCTGCTCTGTTGGGACATCCCACGGTGAGGGGGAAAGATGGGTTTAGTAGCTTCCATATTGAGTGAGGTCAGCAAGTGGCAACAGTGTGGAGTTTTGGTGTTTGCATATGTTGACTTCGGTAGTACCATATGCAGCATAAAAATTGTGAAGCATTTATATATGTTTCATTTTTTGTTGGACATTTGGTTTGTGTGGTTAGCCTTTTCTACATCAGATTTACCACTGTTTCACAATTCTTATTTCCTTTTGCCTTCCTCCAAAAAGCTGTTAATAAGATTACACTGACTAGACCTCATCAGGTTAATTTCATTTAAAGTAAGTGCAGACTTCACTTGCAAGTACTGCAGTTACTTGCTTAGTTATCAACTGATGAAAGCTGGTTGTTATGTCCTCTATGGCTGGACCCACACCATAGATCAATGTTTTAGTTGGAAAGATGGATGACTGCACTGGGACGTAGAAGTCCAAGAGAATAGTCCTACATTGCTGCTGAATGGTTTGCTGGGCTTAAAATGGTAGGGAGGGATGAGACCTGAAGTACTCTGTGTGGTAGTGGTAGCTTAGGAAAGGTGGTGTGTCTGATGCTTTGGCAACAAAACACCTCCCCCCTGTCTGCCCCATGCCCCCATGTTGTGTTCCGTTGGTCTCCTGCCATGCAGAAAGCTGTACCTTTGTCTATTCAGTATTTGTGGTTTTTCCTGCAGGAAACTGAAGCTGATGGTTAACTGAAATAACTCTCAGGCTTGTGCTCTTCCCCAGGCAGCCCTTGGTGGATGGTATATCGGGGTATGGCTGTTTACTTAGAAAATTTCAGGAGCTCATCCAAGATTATCAACCTTAGCGAGAATTTAATGGTCAAGTTTTGTGGAGGTTAAAAATGCTAATACTTCCTGTTGCAACACTGCTGCGAGGACTGAATAGTGCTTTCAGGACTAAGTGTGAGGTATGAATAGAAAGTACGAAGATAGGAGGGATCCTGTATTAAAAGGATTGATCCTGTAGTTGTTATTAAGGGCAGTAGTTCTATTTTCAAGTTACAGGCAAGCACAAAATTTTGCATCTCTATTAAATATTGTTCCTGCTCAATAAACCTTTTGAGTATGTGTTGGAATCTGAAGCATGTGCTTAACTGCTTTGCTGAATTGGGGCCTTCATTACCAAATTGCAGGTGTATGTTAGCTTAAGTATTTAAGGGGGGGGTGGGGGGAAGGGAAAAGTAAAACAATGCTTATTTTGTTCTGTTCATTGTAGTTTGTTACATTAATGGAAAACATCAGAAATGCTGTGCTGTCCAAAACAGATTTAATATAATTAATGGTATGAGATAGGGTCCAGTTAGGAATTAAAATGGAGTGATGAAACGAAAATTTAAAAAATGAAAGTGCGTTCCACATTTTTCTGCATAATATTCTTGTAGAATGAGGCTTTTAAATGTTTTCCTGTTTAAAAGTGTGTTTCAACGATATTTTGTAAATTCTATGTGGATAATAGAGCACTTACTATGTGTGTGTGGGGCTCTGTAAACATTTCCATAATAAACTTCTCTGTATACTGGGCTTAATAACTTGCTCATAAAAATGTGCTTTGGGTATACAAGTAGTGTGCTGGTCCGCCAGAAAGCTTGTGCTTTAAAAATAAATAAGATTATTTAAAGAAAGAGGTATAGAAGGAAACTGAAGAAAAAGTATGCTGTACCTAACCTATTCCTGATAAATATTTGATCAGTATGTTCTTTAATAAGTAACCCTCCACAACATTAAGCAGACATACTAGTTCAATGCTGAGAAGGTCTGAACTTTTCTTTAAGTCTGTTGCTGCATGAAATGTTTGTACATGTGATGCAGGTAAAGCATTAGTTCCCTGTTTTCAGCTACATCTCATAGATCTGAGATCTCGTCTGGTCTTTAGATTTCTTTTGCTAAATTTAAGTGGACAAAGGGGTTTGAGCGTTTCTTCATTAAACGCGTTTTCAATCTCTGATAATTTCAGTCATTTCCTTCTGTAAAATCGCCCGTTAATCTACTCATTTCCTAAAGAGTGTTGCTCTTAGGTCTTTGAAGAAAGTAGAGGACTATCTTTCTGTGTATTCTGGGGTGCTTCATTCTTTGATGTAAGCATCTACACAATGGCTACTGAATAGAGGCTGTTAAATAAAGCACTATTTCACAATTCCCCAATTGTTTCTTTTGCTGGCCTGCTTTGGGATAAGAAAGTGTCACAATAAACAGAAGAAAAAAAAGATGTTCAGAAAGGAAATGAATGTTGATTTTTAGCACACCTGTTAGATATACATCCCTGTAACATTGTTTTGTATCAGTTTTGGTATGCAGATCTGTAAAATAAGCTCTTCTGTAAGATAAGATAAGATACTTACAAAAGGGCTGTAGTCTGCTAACAGTGAAAGAATTATTTAACTGTAAAACCTGGCTTTGCTTTGCTGTAGTTTTTCTGAAAACCAAGGTGGCTGACAGCTATTGATTCATACTTCAGCTTCGTATGAAAATTTTCAAAACAAATCTTATTTTCCTGATACATTATTCCATCTGAAACTGGAGGAATACACTGAAGGATTGTCTGTGTTTTTACTGGCTATGTCCTTGACCCAATGATTTTTCTGTTGCAGAACATAAAAGATAATTTTTAAAATGTATATATATATATATAAAAGTATATATAAAATACATATCGTCTGCATATTGCTTGTGGGATGTTTGTGCTCTGAAGCAGAACCACTCATGCAGATGTGCTTTCCATGCAAGAAGTAAATCAGCGCTGTATAAAACATCAGTGTAATAGGGTTTGTATTACTGGGGTGCTACCTGTGTAGTTTCAGTAGTCCAAAACACCTCTGGCAAGCTGAAGCCCTTTGTTACCCGTCACAAACATGGGCCTGTTACATGCTATAGCAATTGCACACTAGAGGGCTTTTTTACTTTTCTCCACTAACATAAAATTAGCTATAGCTACGTTGTGCTAAACGAGACCACCAGATCTTTGCTTGTCTTTGTGAGATGTTCTGTTATTTAAAATATTGGACTATGATGAGAAACAGGAGAGAAAAGTGGTTAAATAAGGTACATTCTAGCTTACTATAAATGGTATGAAGCTTTTATTTTTACCTAGCAATGCTGTGGAGGAGATGAGAAGTACTTGCTTCTCGTAACGATGTGTCTTCCGACCAATGCAAATGTCACACGTCTAGAGTCAGTAGGTGATTGTTTTTAGCTTTGAGATTCTTTAAGAAAGCTTCAATTTGATACTATGTTTTTGACCTTTACATATATATGTACATTAATACAATTTACAGGTAACTAGGACGTTTTTGGTATGGTCTGGAGTAACAATATATAAATTTTTGGTGTTTACTAGATTATGGTTTCAAATCAGTTGGACTTCATGTAATACTGAGTGTGTCTGTGGCAGTTTACAGTGAAGTTCAAAATGTATATTTTGTATTGTGAAAGACATAGGCTTGAGTAGGTATCAATCTTCATTTTCATTCAGGGTTTGACCTTGACTGGATATATAGACACGAGAATAGATATTCTGCAGTTTTCTTTTTATCCGTGCTGGATAAAAACTGAAATCCCCCAATAATATTTCCCATAGTAAGGCATGTGAAATCAAATGAGGGATGTAGTCCCTTAAAAATAAGGATAAGAGAAAAACAGAGTTGAAAAACAACCAGATAGTGCGAGCAATATTTGTATAGACATTTTTAGCTATTGTAAACTAAGGCTTAATTTCCAGGTGAATTGGAGTGTGGAGTGAATCTGAGGAAACAAAATGTCAGAGTCACAATTTCTTGAATGTCTCTTTCTCTTACATTTTAGCTGTATTATTAAGAAACAGAAAAGAAATAGCTTCTAGGGATGAAGTCGTTGAATGTAATCTGAAAAAAATCACATATGCATTTTTTTTTCTTCTTTCCTACTTGTTTTTTCTTCATTGCCTAGTACTCTAACAATGCTGAAGATTTCAGGTGTGTTCTGCAGATGACAACTAACCTTTTTGTATTTACCAGGCATAAAATGTGGCCACTGCATAATCTAGTGCTGCTCCACAAATGTTGGAAGGATAACCAAGTAACTTATTTTTCTGTTGTCTTCCAAGGGATGTCAGGGATGGCTTCAGAAGAAAAAGCTTCTATGCTTCTCATTATGGGAGAGAGCGATCCCCTCATAAGAGGGACTCTCCTTTCTTCAGGGAGTCACCGGGGAGCCGAAGGGATTCTCCACACAGCAGATCTGGCTCTAGTGTCAGCAGCAGGAGCTACTCCCCTGAAAGAAACAAAGCCTATCCTTTCCACCAGTCCCAGCATAGCAGAACTATGTCATCTTTACATAAAAGAAATATTTCTTCTCAGCAAGGTAATTCTGGATTACTGATGAGAACTGGTTAGTGAGGTGAAACTGCAACTCACTGTATAAGCCCTTTTTCTTTACAGGCTGTCTTTTACAATGAAAACGAGCCTTTTTATACCAATTATGTGTTGTCTGCTCTTTCATTGTTTCATTGTACTCTCTGTTCCCCTATGTATTTCATGTGGGAGGTTGTAGGTGGTATTTCAGTAGCAGCTCTAGTCTGACTGTAGGAGTTTCAGCTGCACAGCTTTTTTGAGTATCGTATGTTACTTTCCTTTCAGCAACAACCGCTTCTGTTACTTTCTGTGCTTCATTGGATTCCTTTACAAGAAACTTCTCTGTCATCTAAAGCAGATGAAGACTTTTCTTCCTGCAACTAGGGTAAAAGAGGGATTAAAAAAATTTGGAGAAGTTAAAGTACATCCTGCTGCTTGTTAACATTTTCTGAAAATGTTCTTAGAACTGTATTATTAGACTTTTGAGGCTGGTTGCTTTTTAGCAATTTCATCTTATCGTCAGATTCTCTCAAATCTTGCTTTCCTCAAAGAAATGTGAAACATATCTCAGATAAATCTATACTGTATTTGTTCTGCCTTTTAAAAGCTTGGCTGTTAATCTTTCCCAGAAATCTAATGAGTCATTTGTTTTGAAAATATTTAAGGTTTTCCTACTTAAATAATTTGGAAAAAAAAAAAAAAAGAGGTAAAATTGCCTTTTTCAAGTATTTTACAGTCTTAGCCACTGCTCTTTGTAGAGCTTATGTACATTAACCCAATTTGATTTCCCTTTCTGCAGGTGCTTTCTAGTGAACTATACAAACCTACTGTTCATTTTGACAGCTTTTTAAAAATTAAATAGATATTTTTTTATTCACTGATAGGCATATTGTGTGTTTCCAGAGTGGCACACTGGACCATTATGTAGCACTTCTTGCTAAAAAAGATCTTGTGGAATTTAGTTAACATTTTTAAATACCAAGGAATCATTTCTCTCCATGTAGACTACAAATTATCCTTCTCATCATTGCAGTTCTTTTAACAATTTGTAGCAATGCACATTGAACGTGAATTCCTTTAAGTGTAGGAGGGGAAGAGAAAAATAGGATGTTCAACTAAATTTGTAAAAGTGTTGTGGATCATAATTACCAGGAACATGAAAAAATTGAGAAACCATCCACAATTTCGGAGTGCTTCAGATTTTTCGTAAAATTTTGAGTTGACTTCTATCATATTTGTAGTGTATTGGCAGAATTACTCAAACAATAGTGGAGGTAGCGAAGTAGCAGCAGTCATCTTCACAAACCAGAAAAGATGCTGGCCAGGGAGGAGGTTACACTTAGGTCTGTGGCCTTTAGGATTTTTTTTCCAATGGCGTGATTGAATACCTCTCCTCATCATCTTTAAATCAGTTTTAAAGAGAGAAGGTGGCTTGTACACGGGGCTATTTCTTTATAAATAGTAGTACTAAACTGCTCCTCTAGAGGACTGAATGAAAATGGTCTATTCAGAATGTATAAATAATACTTCTAGAATCGTGTTTGAATACGACTTGTCTTAGGTAAGCTCATGTATTACCTATTTGAAAGGAACATGAAGTGGGACCTCTGTATGTCAGCAATACATTGTGGCCTGTACTTAAATGGATTTACAGCATGCAGAGTATATACTACTTCACATGGAATTTATAATGCGGCATCTTTTCAAATACCGTAATACTGTTTGTAATCATGCTGTCTGAATCAGTTTGGCCTCATGGCTTCCATTAAAGGAGGAATATCCCATGCTCTCTGGCCATTCATAAATTAGGATAAATACAGGATTTGAACAAGAAAACTGGCGGACATAAAGAAGGTTGGTAAAGGGAGGGCAAGTCCTCATGGGAAAGGACAGGCATTCAGCCTTGGTGGGAGAGGATGGAGAGAAGCAGGGTAGTATTCCTTCACCGGGCCAGTCAGTAAGGGGTCTGTAGAGTGGTGTGCCGAGGTGATGCAAGAAGGCAAGTAGTGGTGCTTGGAAAATGTCTCCAAATTAAGTCATGGTTTCTCTTTCTGCTTAACTTTGAATAATTTACCACCACTTGTATCATCTTATTTCATCCATGCAAGCACAAACATATAATCCATTCATCTGAGATAATCTTTAAGGAATCCAGTGTGATGAAGGAGCTGTGTAGGAGGCAGAGTTAAGAGTAGTCTGTAAATTTAAAAGGAGGTGGCTCATCCATGGGGCTGCAAAGCAGGTATCACAGGAGAAAAACGTCTGTTCGTGTCAAGGGAGACGTTCTGTGCTTTTGGGAGTGTGACAGATTAAAGACGTGATTATTTCTATCTTCACGGTTTTGGTTTTGTCATTTACTTCTATTTATAGGAACTTTTTAATGTTTCACAGTTTTAATTTTTGCTGTTTTGTTTTATTGTTAAAGAGCTTTTTTAGTTAAAGATAATTGATAATCCATCTTTTGTTTTCTGGCTACTAGAAATTCTTAAATAAGGCTGCTTGCTATGTTTTTAAATATGCTCTCCATTTAGCATCATCTTCAGATTAAGGGTTAAAGTGCGATATGTAACATTTGCTTTTGCCAGAGTAACTTCCCTAGCCATTTTCAGCAGCATTTTCAAAAGGCACATCAGTAGCTGAGAAGATTTTTTGTGTGGATTAGTAAGCCTTCAGCATCATGGCAGTAACTCACTTGCCCCTAACAGTGCTCAGAGATGAGCAGGTGTTTGATCTATGCTTTGTGTTACGTCTACGCTATGCATACAGTGTGAGAATGTGGGGAAAGAACAGAAGACTAACTTTTCAAATACCTCTTAAACATTTCTTATTGTTAAAAGTGTGCATTTTGTAGAGACTTTTCCTTAGATTTTTTTGTGTATGTAGTGTTATTTTAAAATACACAGCACAACACAGTCTTACTTCACGGCATTGAATATAAAAAGAAAACAGCTCAACTATTAGGAGTGAGATGCTATTAAAGCCATATTTGGTTATAGTCCTACTAATATAAATTATATGCCGATTTTCAGAAGTATTTAATAATCTTTTTAATTCTTCCCTTTTTTAATTGTATTGATACAAATGTAATGGAAAACAAAATCAGTCTGTATTGTTTTCCATTTGTGAACAACCATTTCCCAGTGATTGTGAATAGTCTGGTTAATTTAGGCCTACTGACAGCACACTTGCTTTTCATACTTACCTTTTGCAGATCCCTTAGATGTAACCCATGCACCACAGCTTGAAAACTTGTAGTTTACACTGCAACCAGTTCTGCTGCTGCAGGCTGCCTGTAACCGGTCTGTGGCAAGGCTATGCACAGGCTGTGATTAGCACAGTGAATTTGAATTCTCATTCTGCGGATTTTGACTCTTACAAGAAAAACACTGATAATACAAAGGGCATCTGGCCTGTGGTTGATACAATACAGGACTGTTTCCCATGGCAGGGCTTTTCAACACACTGTGGCCTGCTAAACCAGTTCCTATACTGCCTGGTTTCCTGGAGTGATTGACTAGTGTCTAATATTTCACCTGTTTATATTATTACAGGAATATTAAAAGGTAAAACCACATCATCTTGCCAAATGATATTGA